AGAGGCTTCTCTTCCTTTAACGCGTACCGGAAGAAGGTTTCTCCTTCTCATAAAGGATTTGGGGGGAGGGCTTTTCCTCCCCGGTAAAACTTGGTCGGTTTTGAAATAAAGCGTTACGTTTTAGAACGTGGCGTATTCAATTTTTAAGGATGGAAATGTTTAAGATTTAATCGTTAAAATCCCCCCCGGGAGGTTTGGCCATTACTCTTGAGGGGTTTATCCAATTTTTTTGTATTAAGGGTCCATGTTTTTTTCCTTTTTAGGGATGCGGTTGCCTCTTGGGGGATTGGTACAATTAGGTCTTTTTTTTCGGAGGTTTTGTTTTATTATCACATTTTTTAGAATAAGGTTATTTGAATTATACCAAGGGGTTTTATCCACTTTGGATCCTTGATTTGTATAATGTAATTAATCAGGAATTTATAAGCTCTTTCGAGTTTATATCCAGTATCTCCCTGTAAAGTGGCAATAGATAGACTATTTTCACTTTATTTCGGATAATAATAATAGACTTTCGTCTTTATGTATTTTCTCAGATATGAGATTTTATCCTTAATATCTTGTTACTTCTAGATAATTTCCTCGTTTTGAAGTAACAAGAATATTTTGTTAATTCTTCTTCAAGTACTTTCTTGTATCTTGAATAGTAATTTAACGTTACTGTTTCCAGTAAATTTGGGTATCAAATCTTCTTTGAATGAAGTCCTGGCGGGGAAGCCATGTAGAGAATTATGTTGTGGTTTTTCTACCGAATCATTCATAGTAATAGATTCTTTATTTATTTCCAAGGACATTCTTAATAAGTTGATATTGATCCGGTGTATTAAAGTATATAATATACACATGGGAATATAATTAACATGACAAGTGTCAATTAAGATCTTGTCATTTCTTATATAAAGTGTTGGAAAAGTTTTAACGTCAGAAATAACACTTTCGTGTAAAGTAACATTTCTTTATCCTATATGAATAATGTCGTAATACGTATATATCACGTGTTACCTCATAATTCTGACAATATCCAACAATACTAGTGAAACTCGCTCGCTACTGGAAACAAATTGTAGAGAATCAGAGGGTTGTGGATTCTTTACAGAATCGTTAATAATAGTAGATTGTTTAGTTGTTTGCAAGGACATTCTTAATAAGTTGAGATTGATCCGGTGTATTAAAGTATAAAATATACACATGGGAATATAGTACATATGATAAGTGTCAATTAAGATCTTATCAGACTTTATATACAATGTTTAGATATTATTGACACGTAAGAAGCAAATACTTTCGTATTATAAACATTTCTTTATCCCTTATTAATAATGATGTTTCATATAATTCTTCACCCTTATTAATATTGAATTAATGAGTATGACTTTACGTCATCTCATAATTTCTGACACAAATACATTATAAACACGAAAGCAGAACTTAAAAAACAAACCGAACATTGGTATATTAAACAGCTGTTCTTTCTTGGATAGGTTTTAAAGCTTCTTCCATCGATTTGTTTGATCTATCTATTATTTTATCCGCCCATGGTTGCGATTAGTACTGCCTGGGGAAAATATAATCTCGTTTTAAAGTTTAACAAGAAGTATTATTTTGGATACTTCTTTACGGAACTTCTTTCCTTTTAAATAGCTTTATTTTGTTCTTTGTTTAGCATCAATAATTCAACTTCACATGAACTATGGTAAATTCTCTATCCTCATCGTTCTCATTCCATGTAACAAATAGTAATTATCATAATCAACCTAGCATAAAAATGTTATACCGATTTTGGCAATAGAAATATGAGGAAGAGTTTTTATTATGAAATAAATATGAATCAAAAATAACAAACTGTACACAACCACTAAAAACAAGATAAAGGATATATTGGTTGATTAATTGCAATGCATGTTTATGACAAAATGATAATCTATAATATTAGAATTACTTCCAACACTTGTATTTTCCACTTTCAAATGATTGTTTGATAATGAATAAAAAAATTACATTAATTAATTCCTTTAATTGCACAGCTATAGGGTTGTCAGTAAACTAGCCATGTTATGCTTGAATGATTCTTCTCAAAATTCGATGATAATAAAATTTCCATTTCGAACAAAAATTAGATAGAATTATTTTTAACACACTTTAAATCTACAATAATCCCATATTTTAGTTTAATCCAATCCCTTTTCTGAAGTGACACATGGTTCCTCTTTAGAAAGTATATAGCATATACAAGTTCAAATGACAGTAATTAAATAATTAATCTAATATGAAACCAAAACGTTGGTAATATTAAACTATTTATTATTCAGCCTACTAGAAAGTTGTTATATAAAGGAACTGGTGTTAAGAACATCAGTTATATACTATTATTTATCCCCCTACTCTCTCTCTTTATTCGCTTTGATATTGTTGCAGTTCAATGGGACATTTTCTTACAAATATGAATTTACAAAATCACATCTTTTCATTGCAATTATATATGTTCATATTATAATATCAGATTGTATATACAAGTAATATCCTATTAATTGAAATTATAGCTATACTTTCCTGGATAATTTCTTCAAGTTCTGTCGTGAATGATTTTGTTTGCTCTTATCCTGAGCAATACCTAATATACTTCAAATAATTCTAATTCAATCATATATGCATAATCCTTTTAAACTTTCTTGTTACCTTTGTATTATTTTTGATTAGTTAATCAAGATTTGTAGTATTCCAATAAAATATTTCCAAATATTAATAATTAATGAATTGATGGAGACTATATAATCCTCTTCGATCAATAAGAATCGCATTCAATAGTTGAATATATATAACGTTTACTAGCAACAAGTATTTAATAATAAGGTCTTTTCTGACTTTATAGACAGCCGGGCGATTCAGATCATTTTAATGAAATAATTGTTCATTTAAATGCAATATTGATAAAAAAACAAAATTTAGTGTTTATGAGATGGTTTGAATATTTGTTTATAAATTAAACATCTGAGTGTTGATAAAGTGAATGCTAATGAGTTTTAACCATCCATATCAACCATATGAGATTCAATTACAGTTGATGCAATGTATCTATGGTGCATTAAGTAGTGGTAAAAAAATTGCAATATTGGAGAGTCCAACTGGTACAGGTAAAACTTTATCGCTCCTTTGTTCTAGTATAACATGGTTAAGGGATAATAAATTGCATTTATTATCTCAAAATCTCAACAATGGTGGGATTGCTATTAATAGTTCGATAGAACTTTCTGATGATGATGATTTTAGTGATGATGAACCGAATTGGGTTAATGAAAGTTACAACTCATCGATTCTCGACAATAAATTATTAGCTTTAAACGATTATGAAAAGCACTTGGATACAATCGCAAATAAGCATTATAAGATTGATAAAAATTTAATTGGAAATGATAATAATAACAATAAGGTGAAGAGACGTAAAATTGAACATATTCCAGTTGGCTTTGAGGAAGATGAATTTTTACCGCAAGACTATATTTCAGATAGTGAAGAATTGGAGCAAACAAAATCAGAAGCTCTTTCCAATGAAGTGAAAGCATTACTGGCAAAATTAGACTCTAAAAGTAATGACGAGCAAACAACATCAACGGAGTTACTTCAAGAATTGAATCCAGTTAAAATATTTTTTGCATCAAGAACCCATTCCCAATTGAAACAATTTGCTTCACAGTTGAAATTACCAAAATTCAAATCATCTTTTGATGAAAAATTTGTATCAAATGAAAGACTAAAGTACTTACCGTTAGGTTCAAGAAAGCAGTTGTGTATTAACAAGTCGATTACAAGTAAATGGAAGTCAACTGAAGCAATAAACGATGCATGTAAGGAATTACTACAATCTGAAAAAGGATGTCCATATCATAATAAAAATACTTCGAATACGCTGTTTAGAGACCATGTTTTTACCGGGGTTCATGACATTGAAGATATTTTAGCTTTGGGGGAGTCATTAAATGTTTGTCCTTACTATGCCACAAGGGATTCGATTACAAGTGCAGAAATAATCACTCTTCCCTACCAATATTTATTATCTGAATCGACCAGAGATAGTCTGAACATAGATTTATCTAATAGTATTGTGATAGTTGATGAGGCTCATAACTTAATCGACACAATCAACACTATTCACTCGTCGCACATTTCGTTACAAGAACTAAAAACATGTCAAATAGGGCTACAAATGTACTTTGCAAAGTTTAAATCAAGGCTAAATGCGGGAAATAGGGTCAATCTTTTGAAATTGATAAAGTTATTGGATATACTAATTGAATATATTAATAAGAATTTCAAGAAAAGTGGACAAGAAATCAGTGCTAATGAAATATTTAACAACACTAATGCAGATACTTTGAATATACATAAACTAAATCAATTCATTAAGGTATCAAAAATTGCTTATAAAATCGATACTTATTTGAATTCTTTATCAAAAGAAAGTGACAACGAAAACAATGAGGAGAGTAAAAACAAGTCTACACCTTTATTATTTAAAGTTGCCTCGTTCCTATCTTCTCTGACAAATCCAAATGAAGAAGGAAAATTCTTTTTCGAGAAGAATAAGTCAATAAAGTATATGTTGCTTGAACCTTCTCAATCTTTTAAAAGTATTTTGGATGAGGCAAGATGTGTGATACTTGCAGGCGGTACAATGGAGCCAATTTCTGATTTTTTTGATAATCTATTCCCAGATATTATTAAAGATAAATCAGTAACGTTTGCTTGTGATCACGTAATTCCGGATGATAATCTAAACACGTATATCATTGAGGAACCTAAATTTGAATTCACATTTGATAAAAGGCAAAATCCTGAATTGGTTAACAAACATTTATTCCAATTCTTTATAAAATTATCTGTTAACGTACCGCCTACTGGTGGTATTGTTGCATTTTTTCCAAGCTATTCATATCTTCAATTTGTAATTGATAATTGGAGATCAAATGGTTTATTTGATAAATTAAATAAAATACGAGAAATATTTTATGAATCAAAGAACGGTTCAGATCCTTTAGATGAGTATATTAAAGTAATAGAAGCTAGGAACCCTGCAATTTTATTTGCTGTCGTTGGTGGAAAACTATCAGAGGGTATTAATTTTCAGGATGACCTTTGTAGAGCAGTAGTTATGACTGGGTTGCCCTATCCTAATGTCATGAGTGGCGAACTACTTATTAAAAAGAATCATATTGAAACAAAGATTTTGAAAAATGGAGGATCTAAGGCGGATGTTTCCTGTGCAACTAAGGATTTTTTTGATACTATATGTATGAAAGCAGTAAACCAAAGTGTTGGTCGAGCCATTAGACATATTGACGACTATTCTAATATTTATTTGTTGGATCAACGATATTCAAATTCAAAGATCAAAGACAAGTTGTCCCAGTGGGTAAGAAAAAGAATTCAACCAGAAACTAACTTGGAACTCATAATGGAGAAAAGTAATAGAACTTTTCAAACGAAGAAGACCAGTAATTAAAGCTGCTTACTGGTAGCGTTATTCTTATAATGATTTTTAATATATTTTTTTAATGTTACATACATAAAAATTTGGATAGAATAAATAAACTAATTACACGTAGACTTATGTTTCCTTTAATGAAGTGCCACTGAAAATGCTTTTATTATTTAGAACTTCAAGCAATGTTCTTGTAAACCAACCGTAATTATTTAAATTATCTCTTTTAATATCAATTACCCTATATTTACTGACTGGACATATCTTGACATTCGTTGTCAAAATTGGCAATAACGTAACTGAACATCTCTTCCAATGATGACCTTCCGATGATGTAATAGTATTCGGATCTGAGCTATTCGAAAAATTGAAATTTTCACTTATTATATCATTTCTTAAAGTTATTTCTTCTGAATCAACAGGACTTTCTAATCCCAATACTGATGCCAGAGATTGGATGCAAGCACGATCTATTGGATTTTCGATTTCATTCGCCTTTCTGGTTGCATATTCAAATATTGATTGTCTGAATTCCATTATATTAGGTTCGTCTTGAATGAAATTCAAAAATTGTAGCTCACCAAGTTTCTCTTGTGACATAAAAAATTCCAAAAATTCTCTGAATTCTAGATTATATGCATCATCATCTAACAAAAGTTCACTTTGGTTGTTTATGACTGGCATTATTTTATCATATATATTATAGGTTTGATAAAGTGCCAGTCCTGCTGCATTATTCGTAATTTTCCAAGAAGTATCAAGTGGAAGGAACATTATATGATAGAGATGTTCTGACACAATCTTGTATTTTAGAGAAATTTTTTCTATGTTGTACACTATTGCCACTGTATACCTATCAGGCGAAATAGAAATTCCAAATAAACGCAATGCCATTTCTTCATTGGTGAATTCATTTTTGGCAGCTTTCCATCTTTGGAACTTTTGGTCAAGTGAAGGTTTTATTATTGTATCATCTGAAAGCTTTAATTCAGATTCGAAATCGACTTTATTACTACTTTTATTTGATATCACTATGGCAGAATTTTCTTTGCCTTCTAGTGGTATAATTGAATATTCTTCGTAACTGTCTACTTTCTGAGTCATATAAGTACCATCTTGGAGGTTGATTGAAATTATATGGCCTGTTAATGTCACAAGGGCATGATTTTTAAATATTCTCAAATCATTAATTTTATATCTTTGCGATTCGATTACGTTTTTAATTGAATAGCTATCTTCATTTCGATTATATTCTAGTAGATATATTGCATTGTCACTTGTAGCTACAACAATATGATCATTTTTCTCCCCAATGTATCTTGGTTATCCATGAATTCTTATCTGTAACCTTTATAGTCAAATGATAAGTAAAAATATACTTATCTGATTCTCCAAGAAATATTTAAATATTATAATTCCGCCACTTCATTTCAACAATTACTCGTTGTCCATCTGGACTCAACTCAACACAAGGTATGTTCTTTCCTTTAAGAATTTTCTGGTTCGCCAAAATAGCTATCAATAAGTCATCCAAATATATCATGATATTATCATTACTGGTCAAAAGGCATTCATCCCTTCAATGGTAGGAGAAGGTTTACATAGTCTAACATGTGAAACGGGTTGAGCATTCAACAACGAATTTTCATTTGCATCTTCAAACTCAAATTTATTGTCTAAAATTAGTGGAAATTCTCTCACATGAAATAAGTTCTTCGCTGATCTTTCAATATCTTTCTTATACAACGGCTGTAATAATGTCAGATCTGGATAAGTAGTCAGTAACAATGAACCATCTCGATTCCAACTTATATTATCAGTCCAATCTTGAAACTCTTTCCTGCTAACTAAAAGATCTCTTACCAATTTCATCTCATAAAACAATGCTAACGATAACAACAACCAATACCAATTCTCCTCCTATTAAATGGCTAATCAACCTTCTTATATATCCTCCCTCCAAACTCCTTCTCTTCATACATTGTTGATATACTTATTGTAACAACTGCTCTAATTTTTCATCATCGTTTTGTTTCTAAAGGTGACTTGATTCCCAAACTTTTAAAAATTTAAACCCTTTAATATATATCAATAGATATCAATCAATTGGAAAATTATAAGAGATGAGATTGGTTTAAAGATAAGAAACTTGAAGGTTTAGTGAAGTAATAACGTAATAACGTAATAACGTATATATTTGTTCGTTAGTTTATGAGGTGTTGGGTATAGTGGAACTTATTCAAATTATTGATATTTTTGATGAATTTATTTAGGATTTATTTGGTTTTTTTAGCTAATATAATTAACCTTTTACGAGTTGAAGCAATACAATGTGCAATATACGGTAATTGTGGTAAGAAATCTTTATTTGGTCAAGAACTACCTTGTACTGTAGATGCAGAATTTGTTCCAGAGGTTCCAAATTCAGAGACTTGGGGATTAGTTACTGAATTATGTGGTTCACAATGGGGGGATAAAGAGAATTTATGTTGCTCTAAGGAACAATTAGTAAGTTTAAAAAAAAATCTACAAAAAGTTGAGTCGTTGATTGCTTCTTGTCCTGCATGTATTACAAATTTTAAGAATTTATTTTGCCAATTCACCTGTTCTCCAAATCAAAGAGATTTTGTTAATGTAACAAGAACTCAAAAATCATTAAAGGGCAATGAAGTGGTTGCAGAATTAGATTTCTTTATTGATCCTGACTGGGCTTCTATATTTTATGATTCTTGTAAAAACGTTAAGATGTCTGCAACAAATGGTTATGCAATGGATCTAATAGGAGGTGGTGCCAAAAATTATTCGAGTTTTTGAAATTCTTAGGTGATG